GTAGAGGGAAGCGGCAGCGAAGGCTGCTGCGGTAGAGGAAGATGCAGCAGTTGCGACTACTGCTGGCCGGGAAGCGAGGAAGACACCGCTGTTCGTCGTTCACTGCTATTGAGGAGGCAGTGAGAGAATGTTTTCCTCCTTGCGTGACGGCGACGAAGAGTGTCTACTGTAGGCAGCAAATAGGAGAGGGAGAAGGCCGGCGAAGAAAAGGAAGACCGGCGATGAAGGAAGAGAAGGAGTGGATGAGCAGAGCCAAGACAGGTGCTCGTTAGCACTGGCTTTTAATCCGTGTCTTGTGCTTCTTCAATGATTCCGCTTGAGGCAGCGTGTTCCTGTGGCCACTTGGCTAACACATGGCGATACTGCTGTCGCCAAGGAGGAACTGCTCTGATACCTTAATTGTTATTAACATATCCCCTTCCTTTTATACAGGTTAGAAGGAAGAATTTTCCTCACGACGAGCACTTGTGGCACCTGCGAGCCGCATGCTGACTTGGTCCTGCTCCTTATCTTCGTGCTGTGCTGGAGAATCCGAAGCACGCGAAATCCGGAAAAGCAGGGACAATCTCACGCCTACGACCTCTTTCCCCCGATCTGGATCCCGCTCAGCTGATGCAGACATGAACCGTCCACCTCCACCGTGCTCATCCTTCCTAGGTTCTCCTCCAGTCGGTAGAGCGCAACCGAGTGATCCACGGCGAGCAGAGGACGCTGCGCCGCCCCTTGCCGCCCGCAAAGGGTCTGCATGGGGAGGCAATTGAGCTGGGAGACATGGACGGAGTACACGGAGGAGAGTAAGGAGTTGGGCGGCCTTCGGTTACAGTTAGGCAATGGGAAGCGGGAAGAGGAAGGGAGATTGTGGTGGGTTAGGCATTTAGGAGAGAGTGTGATGTGACATGACACAGATTCTCCAGCAGCTCGGGGTGTGGAGGGCGTATCCATCGTCTCAACCTTGAATCCTCGCATAACATGAGAATTGCTGTTGGACTAGTCCTCGAATGTTGGAGGTAAAGATCGTCGAGGTCGAAACACGCTCCAACGCATCTACATGTGTCGGGAGCACGTCTTGACAAGGTGCCTTTGGTATCTATGTTAAAAAATTAGATTATATCTATATGGTGTAGAGACGATAAACTCCTTTTTACAATCAAAATTAAAAGAAAAATATTCTTTCGATAAGATTATCTTATGTTTCAATTTCTACTAATGTGATGGATAATAGGGAATATAACATCATTCACTTTCATTCGATACTTGATCATAACGTAGTGTCCTTGATAGAAAAAGAAGATTAGAAGTTGCTTTCCTACATAATATTTTATGAAATATTATATTCTTTTATGATTAGGTATAAAATCTCATCTTTACATAATAAAAATAGGCTTACTTTTTTTTATCACTCGAGTCTGCACTCATATACCCTGGGTTACTAACTTGGTATCGGATGGATCAAGTCAAAAAACTTCGCGATCTCGATCTTCGTATAGGTGGCACCTCGGGAGTTTAGTGTTTTCATCTTAGAGGCACCTCGGACAACCCTGCGCATATAAGTCCAATCCACGTCAAGCTGACTAGGATATCAATGACTTAATTCCTCAATATTTTTATGCTAAAAAGAGGGCCCAATATCACAGTAACACCTATCCATTGACTCTCTTAATGAACGCTCGAACAAGGAGGCTTTGCCCTCGACCTACAATACTTTCACTCAAGAGGGGCAGTGGCCATCCTTTTCATAGATGAATACATCCATTTTAGCGTAAATACCGATGCAATATTGGCGTCTATTCAATGACTAAGGCCTCTCACCCCCAAGGACGACATCGAGCCACCTACTCATTCCCACCAATGTGTTCTTAAATCTCATCCAGTAAGTATAAATGCTAATGGCATAATACATGTTATCGCTCCTTTTGCCTTAATTAACCCAATAAGTGATGCCATTAGCCCAGTCACGATCATCAGCTCAACCACCACCGAAATTGGCATTGGTATCCATCGTGGTTCTCCCACTTGACGTAATGTTGATGACATCCTATGAGCACCCGAGACCTGTCAAACTGTTAATCGGGGGGGGCGGGGGCACTTTGCTCACCAACCATGGAATTCAACGGACTACACCATTACTCTATCTTGCCTGAATCTAAGACTTAATCGATGGATTCGATAGAGGTTTTCCTAGAGATACAACTATGATAAATGGACCGATGTTTGGAGGAGATGCGATGAAAGTTTTGACAATCCAAAGGGGAAGCGTTGGTCAACCCCACCTCAGGTCGGTCGCCATTTACTCTGAAAATCCAAGAAGAATTGATTTTAGCAAACTTTTGCCTCTCATCTTTGGAGGCATTTGATAGAATGCCGACCCAATAGAACACATTGCAGCTTTTTATATCGAAATATTATCGTATAACACTTCAAACGCCCTGACATGTTACACCTTCCCAACCATGTTAAGAAGCTCAGTACTTACTAACTAACTTGGACATTAGAGGGATTGAGTCAAATAATTGCTCTCGACCTTAGTCTTCGTGCAGGTGGCAACCCTACGGTATATCAACAACTTAATCCCTCGATAACATAGATGATATATAATTTTTTTTTTCTTTTTTACCAAGCACATACGACAAGTTCTAATTGAGGTGAGTATTTTTTCTACCATCTTCGTTAATATAATTACCGAGCAAGTGGCTAGACGTATTCGAGCTAGCAAAGTAAGCCCTCATGTGGACGTGTTCTGTTTGGTGCAACTTCTTTTGGTGGAGTGAATGACAACGTGGTATTGTTCTTGAATGTTGGGGAGGTTATAATTCTAGCGAAAAGACAGTGCACAGCGGTGCTCTTCGTGTTCTGAAGTTAAGTTTATTCACGTGGAATGCGTCTTCTAAGTCACTCCTCAAAGAAATTTATATTACATTTTGATAATTATTTGAGAATATATATATATATATATATATATATATATATATATATATATATATATATATATATATATATATATGATTTTTCATATTTGGCTCTTTCTATTCAACCATCACAAAAGATGATGTCGGATTTATTAAATGTACATATAACGTCTAATGAGCATGAGAATATCTCCTAAGAAGTGATTTTTAGTATTTGTAATTCATTATCGACATAATGGGAGGGCATAATAAGATTTTTCATGTATGATCCAAGTGATTGGATGTTGAGTCACAAAAATAATCACACTATGCAAGATAATATTGTACATGATCTCACCTCATTTGTTTTTGGGACTAATTATATATTACTTTATCTAATTAAACCTCCATAGCATTTTTATATCTAAAGTTAAAAAATTTATATTAGAATCCTTATAGTTATAAAAGTGAAAAATCTAGGTCCATTTATCCTAATGTCGTTGATTTTACTGACGAAAACATAAAAATAATGAGAAAAAAAATAATTACAATGTTCCAGATGATTGTAGTGGACGACGAGGCCGCTAGGGGCCATGGGTGGATGTTGCGAATGAGGAAAGCAATGATGAGATATGAGGGTAGTTATGCATCTACGTTGGCGTTGATGCAATTGCCGAGTGGCGAAAGAGTTGTTGATGCAATTGTCGAGAAGTCATTTTGTCGCTTGGTAATTGTGTCAAATGTATAGTGACGAAAGGGCTATTTACTACATCGACATCAATATAGTTATCGAACAACAAAAGGGCCTCTCACTGCATCGGTGTTGACACAATTACCAAGCGACGAAAGGGTTACTTTGCATCTGTGTCAGCACCGATGTAGATGCCAAGTGGCCCTATCATTGCTCGGCAACTGCGTCAATGTCGACATAGTGAGTAGTCCTTTTACCACTCTACCTCTGCGTCAGTGTTGATGCAATTGCCGAGCAATGATACTCTGCATATGTGCCGACATCAATGCAAATGCCGAACAGCCCTTTCGTCGCTCGGCAACTGCATCGACGTCAATGCAAATGCAGAATGGTCCTCATCTCTCGTCGTCACTCTTCTCATCCACAACAGCCACCCGCAGCCCCCCAACGGTGTTGTCATCTATTGCTATATTCATCACCACTACCTAAAATACTTAAATTAGTTTTTTGCCCATTATTTTCGTATTCTCGTATTTTCGTTAGTAAAATTGATGACACTATGATATATATATATATATATAACTTTTATAAATACAAAAATTTTGATTAAATTTTTTAAAATCGATTGAAATGCTAGGAAAGTCTAGCTACAGAGATAATATATAATTAGTCCCTTGTTTTATTGTCTAATGTTGATGTTGCCATCGTTACATCCCAAAGTCTCATCTTTCTGATTGATATCCCAAAATATTGATATCCCAGCTGTGTTTGCATCGGGAAAAGTTGATAGCGGATTCAAGATTCACGTTGTCGAGTATCAAGGAGTAAGTTACTCACCACATGCTGAACACGGATGGGGTGGATGTGTCGGGCGAGATAAACCATGAAAACAAATAGTGTCAACCAATCCCTTCTTTGACGGAGGATACTCTTCGCTTGAGCCGCTGAATCAAATGAAATTTCAACGGCTCGGCTCCATATGTGTACCTCACTTGCATGAACAGAAATGAGACACTGAATAGGATCAAATTTGAATTTATGATAGGATAAAATGGAAATGAATTAGTAAAACATTCCCAAACAATTCCGTACGAGCATGAAATTTAAATATTCTATTATTTTAAAATATTATAATTCCGTGCGCACAAAAAAAAATATTATAATTCCGCATACAATCTTAAATTATTAGAATAGTTGTCATCTCTACTGACGAATCTACGCACAGCTTCAATATATTCGATATGTACTCACCAGATATATCTCTGTTAATAACCACAAACCAATCGGACATGAATTTTAGGGTTCAGCCAGGATCAAAACTCTCCCGCAACTGAAGTCCACAGGCTTTAAGAGAAGTTACATGACCAACTGGCTGGCTGAATTCTCATAGAGGCTACCTAAAACATTGGCACATGATTTTTGTGCGTGTAAGCCATGAATATGAGATTTGATCACAGAAATTTTTACTATCAACATTTAAGATCTTTACCAGCTGGCTAGTTGACATCTTCTAAATTTATCAGATGAGGTTTCGAACCATCTGATGATTGGATTTGAAAGCAGCCTCTCGTACATACAAAATCATCGGTGTGTCATGCAAGTACAAATAACAACACCAGATCCAGATGATATTAGATAGCATGTGAAAACTGAAACAAGCAGTCGTCAGTTCCCACTCTTATGCATTCCGACTATTTAACCAGTTGAACTCGGTGTTCTCTCCTTTGCTAGTCCCTCTGGCGGATGTGGCGATGTAGCGCTTCACTGCACTCTGATTTACCTCAAATATGAATTTCAGACCCCTAACCTGCAAACACAATCAAACACTGGTGAATTGATTTGTTTATTACATCACACAAATGAATAAGCAACTGAATAACCGTACGGGACGAGTCACCGGCTGTAAAAGTACAGAATTCAAATTTTTAATGTCAACACAATCTAGATAACAATATTTGTCATGTTCATGAAGTTGATTCTACTACAAAGATGAGATGCAATGATGGCCTTCCCATTAGAAAGGTCTGCCTCAATTACTATCTCCTTCCATATGAATTTTAGTACTAATTTACAGAATTGGTTTGTGCACCTAGGCAGGACACTAAAGACATACGTAGTTATTTTTTTCCTAGTGGATTTTAGCACTCATGGAATATGTGTAAAGTTCGGAATACTAGCATAGCCACAGCGAAAAAAGATGCAGATGTTAATTGCTATACTTCTGCTTGGACTTCTGGCACTCTTGGGTGAAGGAGAGGAGGAAAAGAAGACCAGGAGATGGAGGATGGGAGAATGCGACGGTTGCAGCTGAGAAGAGTACCAAGCAACCACTGAAGGCGAGTGATAGGCAGTGAGAGAAATCACAGAAGAGATACAGGATGAGAGAGAGAGAGACGGGCAAAGCAAGGCAAGGCAAGGCACGTGATAGAGGCAAGAGAAATAGAGATAGAGAGAGAGAGAGAGATGAGCAAGGCGAGGGAGGCAAGTGCGAGAGGCAAGAGAAAGAGAGATACAGGGAGAGTGGTTCAGCTTTCTCTATAGCCTGAAGCTGTGGGCACAATAGCAACCGCATCGAAGGAATGTCACCAATTTGATCGAGGGCTCACTGACTTTGTCTTCCCGAGGGAAGGAGTCTACAATCGAGCAAAAGAAAAAGAGTTCCTACAAAGGGCCAAGTTCAAAAGGCATAGCCACAAAACTTGGTGGATGCTTCTTGTGCGAAGGACCGCACATAGTAAGGGAGTGCCCACAAAAGCAATCACTCAATGCATTAACAACATCAATCCATCCCTCTAGATGGGACAAGGGCAAGATCGTCGCCCTTAGTTCGAGTAGTTCGGGATCCAACAGTGACAATAAGAAGTCGCAAGGATCTCGAATAGGAGCAATGCATTTATTGAATGCGTTGTAAGGTCAAGTAAGGGAGAACATGAAGATGAAGCAACAAAAAGCAAGGAATAACGAGTTGATATACGTGGACATCAAGCTAAATGGCCAAACAACTAGTGCGTTGGACACTGGCAGTATCTACAATTTCATTGCCGATCAAGAAGCAAGACAACTTGGGTTAAACCTAGAAAAGAGCCCAGGTCAGATGAAGGCTGTAAACTTGGAGGCTAAGCAGATCTCCAAGTAAGCAAAGAGGGTCCCTATCAAAATCAGGATATGGAGCAAAAGCACGAATATGATTGTGGTGCCACTGAATGAGTTCCAAGTGGTCCTCGGAATGGAGTTCATGCACGTGACGAAGTTGGTACAAATGTCATTCCTAAACTCCCTATGCCTGATGGGAGGCAATGACCCTTACATAGTTTCAGTTTCTCGAGAAACCAAGGACCCACAACAAATATTGACTTTACAACTGAAAAAGGGGTGTGAAATGACGAATTAATTTTCATGGTCGCAAAAAAGCTGGAGCTACTTGATATAGAGGTCACTCATGAACCTGTTATAGTGTCGGACGTTTTGAAGGAGTTCACAGACGTTAAGCCACCTAAGTTGTTGAGAACTTTGCCGTCACGAAGAGGTGTGGATCACCACATCGAGCTGGAGCCGAGAGTGATGCCTCAGGAAGCAGTTGGCATAGCTTAAGAAGCAGTTAAATGAACTGTTATGCAGTGGTCTCATCTGCAGTTCTAAAGCATCATTTAGAGCTTCAGTTCTCTTCCAGAAGAAATAAGATGGGAGCCGTCGATTATACGTCAACTATCAGGCCTTAAACAAGATGATGGTGAAGAACAAGTATCACATCCCACTTATCGCAAACTTGTTCGACCAACTTGGCAAGGCGAAGTATTTCTCCACAACCTTCGATTAGGATACTGGCAAGTGTGCATAGCTAAAGGCAATGAACCAAAGACTACTTGTGTGACCAGGTATGGAGCGTTCGAGTTCTTGGCGATGCATTTCAGCTTAACCACCGCTCCAGTCATATTTTGCACTCTCATGAATCAACTGTTCAAGGAGCATCTAGACAAGTTTGTGGTCGTCTATTTGGATGATATTGTTGTCTACAACCAAATGCTCGAGGAGTATGTCAAACACATTCAAATAATATTCATAATTCTCGGGGAGAACACTTTGTTTGTGCAAAGGGAGAAGTGCTACTTTGCCCAGACAAATATTTTATTCTTGGGGCATCGAATCGACGAAGGATCCATTCGAATGGACAAATCAAAAGTACAGGCTATGGCAAAGTGGCAAACACCAAAGAAGATACCGAAGTTAAGATCCTTGATTTCGTCAAAACTATTATCAGCGCTTCATAGCTAGGTACTACAAGCACGCAGCTCCATTGACAAAGTTACTAAAAGAGCAACCTTGACAATGGTCAAATAAATGTGAAGCAGCATTCCAAAACCTAAAGGTTGTTGTATTATAAAACGGGTACTCAAATTGTTAAACTACGGGAAGCTTTTCGAAGTCCATACAAATGCTTCAAACTTCGCTAATGGAAGAGTACTTAGGAAGGAGGGTCACCTAGTGGCCTACAAGAGCCGCAAGCTCCACGAGACCGAGCGGCAGTATCCGATGCACGAGAAGGAGATAACTGTGGTGGTCCACTATCTACAAGTATAACAACACTACCTTCTCGGAACGTGATTTGTGCTAATAACGAAGAATATTGTGAAGTTACTTTCAAACTCAAAAACTAGTCTCAAAGCAAGCACGATGGTAGGATTTCGTGGCTAAATTTAATATGACAATGAAGTATAAACCCGAAAGAGCAAATGTCGTGACCGATGCATTGAGTAGGAAAGTGGAGCTAGTGAACGTCATGCAACTGGAAGGCGGAGGCCAAGTAAATCAACTGCACTCCAACTTCCTTTCCAAAATCAGGGATGGACTGTACAATGATCCCCAACCAGTAACTTTGATGCAATTGATCAAAGAAGGCAAGGCATAACGATTTTGGGTCAAAAAGGGACTCATCTACACTAAAGGGAATAGAATTTATATTTCTCGAAAGGATGATTTGAGGTGTGAACTCTTGAGAGAGTGTCACGATTCCCTTTGGGCAAAACTTCAAGGTATTCATCGAACGTTGGCTCTCGTAGAGAGGGCCTTCTATTGGTCAAAAATGGGGATTGATGTGGAGGAATATATTCGGACATGCGTTACTTACCAACAAGATAAGGTAGAACAATAAAAGCTGATGGGACTTTTGGAGTCGTTGCTAGTACCAAAAAGGTTGTGGGAGAGCATTTCTTTAGACTTCATATCAAGCTTGTCAACGGTAAGGGGACTTGGATCAATACTCGTGGTGGTCCATCATTTTTTAAAGTATGCAACATTCATTGTTGCACTCCTACATTGCTTAACGGAGGAGGCAACTAAGTTGATGATGATGAATGTCATAAAGTATTAGGGAGTCCCACACAATATCATCAGCAATCGAGACAGTTATTGGGACGGTTTTGGATCGAGCTATTCAAATTGTTGGGATCTAAGTTATACTTATCTATAAGCCTCCGCCCCCAAACGAATAGTCAAACAAAAAGAATAAATTCACTCCTTGAGCAATATCTTTAGCACTACATGAGTGTCAACCAATAGGATTGAGTGAAGTTGTTGGACATAGGTCAATTCTTCTACAACTTACAGCGGAGTTCTACATCCAACAAGAGCCCCTTCGAGATCATTACAGGATAGCAATCGTCAACTCCTCACACCTTGACGATCGATTATGTCGGGAGTAACCCGTTAGCATATCACTTTGCAAAGGAATGCATCGAAATGTAGATATTATCCGGGCTTATCTAAAGAAGGCGGCCAAAAATATAAAGTGGCCAGATATGGGAAGGCAACCATAGGAGTTTAAAGTCGACAACTTGGTGCTGGTGAAGCTCCAACCAGCATTACTCTAGTACACAAAGTACATAAGAGACTGGAGCGCAAGTAACGACCCTTCCCAACTATCAACAGGATAAACAATGTCTCCAACAAGTTGTAGTTGCCAACGTAGTGTCACGAACAAACTTCTAAACAGGATGTTTGATGTAATGCTTATATATATCCGTGTCTTTTGGTATGTTTATGCTTTGCACAGCATGTAGAGGGACGACCGAAGGCTTAATAGTCCTATTTTAGTTGGGTTTGGTGGCCGCTTTAAGCTTGTAAATAAAGGTTGTGTCATGTGGATACTTGTGAGAGATTTTCGGTCTGTAGTGGACCATTTTGACTCTTTGTTGTGCAACTATTCAGAGCTTGTAAAGTCTGTTTGTAATTTGCATTGTCTATGAAGTGTTTTCGAAAATGTTTGCTTGTGGATCCCGAGTGAGGCGTTTTCTCTAACCCGTTTTCTCTTTTGTGGGTCCTAAGAGACCATGGGAGGCTTCGGGGAGGCTGATTTTTGCAGACGGACACGCAAGGTTGCCGCACGACTTAGACAAAACCAACTAAGTCCGTGACAGATGGTATCAGAGCAGGACAAACACTCATAGAAACACTTAGCATGCAAACGTGGGGGACCTAGTGGGGCTGCGTTGAGGGCAGTCAGCACACGCGCGACCGTTTGGGGGAAAACGAGCATGGAGATGTAGGGAAAAGGAGTCACTCGGAGGAGCAGGCATCTGAGATTGGCATTCAGAGGAATGACCAACCCTTCACGCACGAGGCACCACGAGAACAGGCAAGCTTGGAAGAATGCGGAGCGCACAAAGGTTGGGATGGCTGAGTTTGAGCTACGGCTCAACGTTGACACTATACTTAATGGTGCTTAAGGCAAGCGAAACGCTTGGTAAAGGATGAGACCATGCAAGGTGGAATGAGTTGCTCACCAACCGAAAGAGTTGTTCAAAGCTCACA